GCCACTCCTCGGAAGGAAGGTTGGGCAATCCTACTTCCGTAGTGATACTGCCTCGGAAACCCAAGGAGGGGTCGCTATGAGTTGGGGCCGACTTGACGGCACATAACAACAACAACAACAACAGCAGCAGGAGGGTCCACAGTAGCTGCAGAGGGTCTGGAGGCAGGGGAGTTGAGCCCCTCTCGTGTGATGGTTTTGCCTGGGGACAGCCCTGTGGGGCCCTCAGTGGTCCAGGCAGCAGGTTCCTCTGAGGTGGGCTTGTTTGGGGGAGAGGTCTTGGGGAGCCCAGTCTGAGGCAGAGACACTTGGTGGACCCTGATCTCCATCTGGAAGGAGGGCATTTTCGAAGCAGCTCCTGGGGACAATCCTGCCCACAGCATATTCGGTGCCCACTAGGTTATGCTGTGCAGACTCCCTCTGATGAAGGGCTGCTGCCCTCGTCACTGCTGGGAGGGTGTTGGGGACACTTTCAGCTTCTTTAGGTACTGTCTCAGCTGAGAGAGCTGCTTTCCCCAACATCACACCCTTTCGGGGGTGTCTTCTATGACAGATTGGTTCAGAGCCATGAATCCCTGGCCATCTCTCTCCCACAGATGCTGACCTCTGGAACACTATGCTTTGACCCCCAGTGGCTCAGGGTTTCAGAAAGTGTGAGCAGGCAGGCTGTGGAGGCCCTGCTGGTGCCCCTGGAATGGGTGACTGTGAGGCTCCAGGCTCCTCTGAGAGGCTTCTCTTCTGCAGTCTGACCAGCACTGGCCTATGGGCCCTCCTTCCCTCAGCACGTCTGCCTTGGGGCCTGTCTACCTCCTCTTAAGAAGCTCTCTGGACTAGGGGACACCAGGCTTCCTCTTTCCACAGGCTGCTGTGGCTGGTGGGGGATGTGGCGTGCCAGGAAGGCCCATGGTCTTGGCCCCTGGAAGAGCCTCTGCTGAAGCCGACCCACCCTCCCCTGTTTCCTGCTGCCCCCAAAGGAGAACTCCCAGCAGGTGGGGGAACAGAGGTGGGCACCTCTCTCTTGGACTGCTGCCTCTCCTCCTGGAGCTCCAGTTCACCCCTCAGCCGTAGCACGTTGCCCGCCGTCCGGGCCAGCTCCTCAGCCAGTGTGTCATTGGCCTTCTTCATGTGTCCCAGCTGCTCCCGCAGAAGCGTGTTCACCTGTGCAAGGCTCATGCTCCTGGACAGGATAGACCACAGAGGCAGCACGGTCTCGGGGAGACTCAGGGCCCCAGGTCCTGAATGGAGGGGCTCAAATAGCACCCGGCCCTCCGGTGCCAGCAGGCTCAGCTCAGGTGCACAGCTGCCACCCACAGTGAGCCCAAGCAGCACCTCCAATCTCCCTTGAACACTCCTCTGGCCCCACCAGTCAGCAGTCACGGCAGGTAGGGAGTGAACCTGGGGAGCTGGGGATGGTAGGCTCACTGCTAGCATGGTGGGGTTACCACTGGGGCTCTGGCTACACCACGGACAACCCCCTTGGACAGAGTGCATATCACCCAAGGCAGAATGTACTTCTCTGCGCCTTGCACTCCGGCCACCTGGTCTCACCTCTGCTCGGCAGCCTCCAGACGGCCCAAGGCCTCCTCCAGGTCCACGCTGTGCTCCAGCTCTGACCTCCGCAGTCGGGCCTCAGTGGTCTCCAGCCGGGCCTGCAGCTGCAGAGGTGCGTGAGCCCACCAGGCGGGCTGCGAGCAGCTTTGGTGCAAGCAGGAGCTGGCATGGGCCAGGCTCTAGACCTCCTCCACAAAGTGGGTCAGACAGCTGGCCCTGCACTCAGCTCCTCCTTGGGGGTGCCACCAGCATCAGGCCAGCGACAGGGAGGGGCAGGGCACTGGGCTGATCTGGGAGGTGTGAAGGCCCCTGCTTGGGCAGGGCATGGCGTGGGTGTGAGAGGCGGGTGGCCCCCCCTCCTCGTGGGGCTGCAGGCCCCCTGGGGGGGTTGGGTACCACCTCAACCATGGCTCACAGGTGGCTACACTGAGGGCCGGAGAGGGCAGGTCCAGGGCCCTCAGGCTACCCCCGAAGTGTGGGAGGTGGGGTCCCGTGGACAGCAGGCCTCCAGGAACCACTGGGGGGCCTCCCTGCTGGGCATCTTCAGGAGATGGCAGGAGGTGCCTGGCACTAGGCGTAGCCCTGTGGCCTCCAGGAGCCAGGCTGGCTGCCAGGCATGGTCCACGTGGCCGGGGCAGACCCCCCTCTCTGGGCCTCAGCTTTCTTGCTGCAGCCCCCTCAGGGCGGGCTGACTGCATACCCGGGCATCGAGCACCAGTCTCCCTCCTCCAGCACACTCTGGGTGCTGCCCCCTCCCCTTCACTGTGTCCTTCCCCAGGGGAGTGGGACGCTGGGCTGCTCTGAGCCCCGCAGCGTGCAGAGGCTGGGCCCGGCCGGCCACGGGGGTTGGTGTTGTGTGTTGTTAGAGAGCACCAGGCCCGATCAGGTCATGAGGCAGCAACGGGGCAGGCCTGGCGGGAATGGAGCCGCGCTCCAGCTGCTGGGCCCCCACTCAGTCCTCTTCCAGCTGCTGCGGGTGCCCTGTCTCCTCCCAAAGGGGGTTGGAGCTGAGGCAGAGGGGTGCAGGGCTGAGGGGACCTACACACCTGGCCTGGCCCAACCCCATGGCCTGCTCACCTCCAGCTGGGATGTAAGCTGGCCCCATTGTCTCAGGAGCAGGGGTGAGGAAGGCGAGTGTGGTGGAGGGAAGGGGGAGTACACAGAGTCAGCCTTGTGTGTGGACCCCCATGGCCCCAGCAGGATGAAAAGGAGGGGCCCAGAGTGAGGCTGGTGGTGTGTGGGGCTGGGAAGCAGGTGTGAATGCCACCCTCCCAGCCCCACCTCGCTCCACTGGCTTGGGGGCAACGTGTGGCACTACCAGCGTCCTCCTGCGACAACCACGGTGCCCAGGGGGCAGCAGACTCAGACTTCACTAATGTTTCTGCTGGTTGCTGTGGCTTCTGCCCTCCTCCCCATCCCAAGGTCTGCTCCCAACATGTCCCCACCCTGTAGGAGGACCGCCCTTCTCCTTGCCCCACGCCGGGCGAGCCAGGGCCACACCAGGCCTGAGAGAGGGTGCAGGGCCCCGCTCCCCTGATGTGGGAACCAGGTAGTCACCTCTCATGGCTCTGCCCCAGGAGCGCCCCCCGAAGTGAGGCAAGGGTGCCCAGGAGAGGTCAGTGCACTCTAGGGCCATGATCCTGGAAGCCTTCTGGGCCCCACAGAAGAGCACAGGCCTGCAGGTCTTGGCACTAGTCACTGGTCACAGGCTGGAGAAAGGGGCGGCCAGCTCAGGCCTGCCAGTCCTAGGCCTCTCTGAGCCGCCACCTCCTCAGTGTTCAGTGTTACCCACAGAGGAAGTTGGGCCCCAAAGGAAGCATGTGGGGGGCCAGGCTGGGCAGAACCCCTGCCTCTGAGCCAGGCCCCTCCTCCATGCCCACCTCTGGCCTGGCTCGGCCCTTGGAGCAGAGGCTCTAGCCTAGCAACTTTCCTGCCTCCGTTTCCCCAACCACACTTTATGACCAAATCGGCTCCTGGCTACAGCTCTTTGGCCACCTGGAAGGCATTGCGGTCCCCTGAGACGGAGGACCAGGGTGGAGGGGTGTGCCTCTTGGCCCCTCGCCTCTCCTCTATCCTCGGAGGTCTGACAGGAGGGTCGGTTCCTTCTGGCTGGCCCTCCGTCTCCCTTCATGGGCTGGCTTTGTGTTCTAGGCTGGGCTGGGCCAGGCACCAAGGGGTCAGGCTGGCCAGGCCAGCTGGCAGGGCTCCCAGGCAGGCAGAGACACGTCAGTGCTAAGCTGGGTCAGGACCCCTGGGTGGGGCCCTTGGGGGAACCTCTGGCTCTGCCCCTCCCACCTCAGGCCTCAGTTTTCCCATCTGTAGCCCCAGGGCTTTTTATTATTCGTGTTCTAAGACCCCCTGCATGGCCCCAGGCAGTGGTGCCCTCCCCACCCTGGAAGGTCGCTGCGGAAGGTGGTCCCGCCCACCCCCATACTTACCCGCTGGCTGACCGCGTGGTACCTGCTGGTCAGCTCCTCCCGCTCAGCACCCGCCTGGGCCAGCAAGGCCCCCAGCCTGGACAGCTCCCCCTGCAGGAGCTCATTGTCCTCCTGCACGCGGGCCGTGGCGTCCGGGGGCTCCGGCACCCCTGCAGGCAAGGAGCCCCAGGTCAGAGGGCGCAGCCAGGCCTAGCACACTGTCCCCTCAGCCATGGCACCTGGCCTGCAGGCTGCCAGCTGGGCTCCCATTCAGGGTTGCTCCAGTCTCTTGGTGGGGCTGCAGCTTGAACTCGGGAGCCCCCAGGAGCCAGGGTGGGGGGCATGTGGGTGCTGTGGGCCTGGTGGGCATCTAGGGCATGCTCTGCCTTTATCAGCACCCTTAAACCCAAATACACGCCCAGGACCGGGCCCTGCCCCAGACCCGCTGGAGCACAAGGTGTGGTTGGACCCCTCTGGTGAGGCAGCGAGGCCATGGTGTCAGGGCGGGCAGACCCTGTCCTGTTCATTTTCTAAATACACAGCAGGGCGTCCTTCTCCTTCAATACACAGTGAGAGGGTCTGTCAGAAGCTGGGCAAACCCTGGCGCTGGGAACTCCCACAAGGGTGGGAGTCTGGGAGGCACAGACTCTCAACATGGACCCGGCTGCCCAGGTTCGAGGGATGAAGGTTACTGTGGTACTGTGAGGGGTGCCTTCAGGGCTGGTGGAGACGGGCTGAGCACGGGAACAGCACTGCCAAGCGACTGGGCCTTGGGGGGCCCACCTGGAAGAGTCTCCCTCTGCTAACGAGAAGTCAAGGAGGAGGCAGGAAGCTTAGACTGACGGCCACCTGAAGTAGGCACAGAGGCAGCCTGGCTCGTGGACAGTCCCTGTGTCCTCAGGGAGCACCCTGTGGACATGGTCAGGCCACACAGCACAGTCTGAGCAGTGGGCTTTGGGCCAAGGCTCCCCGGTGTCCCCAGCAACCCCTCTCACCTTTCCAGGGCTCCTCGGCCAGGCTGCTGGCCACGATCTCCCGGATTCGGGCAGGCACCGGGGTGGGTGATTCCCGCTGGCCTTCCCCCCACATAGTCAGTGACCGGTCCTCTTTGCTGGCCGTGGGGCCCAGGACAGTGTCTTCCAGTCTCTGAAAAACACCAACCCAGAGACCCTGGGGCTGGTGTTCCGCCCTTGTGGGAGTCCCCCTGGGGTTCATCAGGGCCAGCACCCCGCCTCGGGCAGCCAAGGGCCTTGCAGAGACGGTCCCAGCCTGGGAGGGCCACCCAGCGCACCACACCTAGGTTTCTCCGCCCGTCAAATGGGGCTGCGGGGCTAGATCTGCAGCGCGCCTGGCCAAGGTGGGCCCGGCTCTCCGCCCGTCCATCCAGAGTCTCCTGCCAGGGAGGCTGGGACAGGCTCAGGGCCCCGTTCATAGGTGGCCCCGGCCTGCAGGTAACTGGCAGGTAGAGCTGTGATGTAAGCCTCCCCTTCCGTGAGGCATGTGGCATCGCCGGGCCCTGCAGAGTGAGGATGCACGCCCCCCCCCCCGTCAGGGAGCAGGCCCAGCTTGTTTGCACAGTGAAGGGGCGGGGAGAGGGGCTGACAACAGGGTCCTTCTCACCTGCATGAACAAGGTGGCAGAGCCTAGCCACCTGTGGGGGGGGGCCTCTGGGGGAGGGGCAGGGCTGCAGGAGTGGGGCAGGGGGGTCCAGCTTTCTCCCCCCCCCCACCTGGCTCTGTGGCATGCAAAGTGTCTCTTCTCTGATCCCAGCAGACAGTAGCTGTGGGGGGGTCAGTGGGGGCAGCAAGGGTGCCATCTTTCCTGAGCCTGGCTCCTGCTCCCTTCTCCCAGCTCCTGAGTGGCTGGACTACCAGGAAAAGGCTTGGATAGGCCTCGATGTAGGCAGGAAGTACCCCAAAACCCACCTAGAAAGGGCATCCTGGGCTCTGAGTGGGCACATTCCCTTGGCCTGGGGCCTCTGTCCTTGGAGGGAGCCCGGCTGCAAGGGCCAGGGTGGGCCCCTCCCCACTTAGCTACTGTGGGCGGGGCCCCCTTCCAGGTCTCAGCAGGGGGCTGACTGAGGGGGTGCTGGCAGGACCCAGCAAAGCTATGGGGGCACCGTTCCAAACAGCACACAACCTCAGGCAACCAAGCGCCTGGTGGGATCCTTCGGGCCTGGGCACAGCCCGGCTCCGGCCCTCTGCTTCACTGTTGTTGTTGTTATGTGCCGTCGAGTCAGCCCTGACTCATAGCGACCCCTCCTTGGGTTTCCGAGGCAGTATCACTACGGAAGTAGGATTGCCCAACCTTCCTTCCGAGGAGTGGCTGGTGGGTTTGAACCGCCAGCCTTCTGGTTAGCAGTCAAGTGCCTTAGCCACTATGCTACCAGAGCTCCCTCTGCTTCACTAGGTGTCTGCATTTCAAGCAGTGATTGGAATTTTAAGGGATGGGTGGACATGCCCAGGGGTCCTGGGAGATGGCTGTCCAGGCTGGAAACCTGGAGCCCCCTGCCTTCTCTTTCCCAGCCCACAGACTTCATTCCTGTCCCCTGGAGGCCCCTCTCCTCACGGCCCGCTCCCCCATGCACCCTGGCATCTGTAACTGCCCAGATCTCGCCTTCAGCGCCGGGTCCTGGTGAGGGTCACTCGCTGTCTGTTCTGCCCTTCTCCCACCTCTCCTTCTGTCCCTCAAGACCCAGGCCCAGGGCCCTCCAGGCTGTGCCCTTAGGCCCCCAGCTGGTGGCTGGGTGTGCAAGGGCTTGGAGGGCTTCCTGTCCTCTCCCCACCTTGCCTGCTCTCTGCCTCCGCCTCCTGCTTTTCCTCGCCTCCATCCTCCGGGGCCACTTCCCCACCTACCCCTGATGCTGATACCCTCTGCCCCGCCCCAGCACAGGCACTGGGGGAGGTGCCAGCCTGCCGCCTCCCCGGGCCTTACTCCCCAACGGTGAAGGCCTGGGCCCCCCTGGGTCTCCCAGATGAGTCTTTGCAGTCTTACTTGGGTGGGCAGTGAGTGGCCACCTTGCCCTGTGGATGGGGGCCCCAGACGCACCCCCCCAGGTCTGGACCCAGGCTTCTCCCATGTCCTCCCAGGAAGAAAGGGCTGGAGGGCCCCCGCTACCCTGTCCCCTCATTTACATACAGGGAAACCGAGGCCCTGGCGGAGAACCCCCCAGAGGCCACCCTCGGAGGCCTGGTCTGTATGCCGGCCTCCTCCGTGGCGGCCCCGCCCCGCTCCCTGGGGCAGTGGCGGCGCCACCCGCTAACGGGAAGACAGTGCTGCCTGAACTTGACTCACTGCTCAAGTTTACAGAGGGTCACTATTAGCCGGGACGTCCCGAAGGGCGCTGCGGCCTTAATGGGTTCCAGCTGCGGCCGGGTGCCTGCGATGGGCCGGCGGCCAAGCGCCGGTGGGGGGCTTGGTATGGGGCCCTGTCCCCTTCTAACCGCCCCTGTTGCCCATGGCGGGGCAAGAGGGAAGGGTCCACTGGGAATGTGGTAGCCCTGCCCCCGTGGAAACAACGGGGGAGGGGCGAGGGTGAGAGCGTAGGGGGGCTGGGGAGAGTCGGGGCGGGACCGGGGGCATGAGAGAAACAGGGAGATGGGTCTGGGTGGCCCGTGGGGACAGCCACCCTTTCCTCATACCGCCCACCCACACCTGGGCTCTGGCTGGCTGGAAGGACGTCCCTACCCTCCTCACATGTGCCCCCACCCAGTATTACCACAGGACTGCCTGCTGGGAAACCCTGGGTCCCAGCTCTGTCTCAGCACGATAGGTGACCCTCAGGGTGCCCCCTGTGAAAGGGGGGGTCGTCCCGCCTGCCTGGGCTCCAGAGACCCTGGGTGTGGCAGCTTTCAACAACGGATCGTGGGTGATGAGGTGGGGCAAGGGGTGGGGGTGCTAGAGCTGCTGGCGGCTGGACCCTGTGGTGAGGAGACCTGGAACCCTCAGAGCCTCCTGGCTCAAACCCTCCCTGTTAGGCCACCAGCTGAGAGGGGGGTGGAGGCAGCTCCCAGCCCCACCCCCAGGGGTCACGTTCCTGCCTTGGACCCTGTGGTTCTGGGGCTGCTGCGGGGTCCCCTCCTCTACCTCTTCCTATCAGATCTGGGCCTGAGGACCACAGATCACCGGAAGTCATCTTACCGTACTCCGTCACAGGGAGACCAAGGCGGGGAACAGGACCCACCACTCAGGATAGCAGGGTGGAGCCTCACCCACCCCGCCTTGCCCCAAGGTCACAGCCTTCTCCGTTAGTCACACCCTCATCCTCTACCCCCGTAACTTGGGCATGACCCTTGGGGTCCTCTTGCCAGGCCCACGGCAAAGCCACTTCTTGGGAGGAGGTTGGGGTGCCCTCAGAGGCCCCTGTAAGGGTGGAGGAGGCACGTTCACTGGGACCCCTCCGCCTAGCACACAGTGTCATCCCCTAGGGCAGGGCTTGTAGCCTGCTGGTTTCTGAGCCTGGATCTGCTGGCTGTGGGCAGGGCTGGGTCAGTATCTCAGGTGACCAGAGCAGGGCCTTCCTGGCTGAGGGGTCACCCCATCTGGGGATGGGGTGGTACGGCCCCAGGAAGGACAGGAGTGGGCGCTAGCAAGACTTGCACAGCTGGCCTCCTGGGGCTCAAGGGCAGGAGGGACAGGGCCCGGGCACGTCGCAGTCCGCACGGGACGCTGTGCAGGGGCGCCGCCCACACGTCCCACAGCTCCTTCAAGGCCCCTGGGGGCTGCATTTGGGTGTGAGGAGATTGAAGCCACAAGGGGCCTGGAGCCCTTGCCTTCCAGCTGTCTAAGTCACGTCCCGGTCACAGCCGGGGTCAGACCTCCCCGAGCCCGGTGGCTCCTTGGCAGCTCCGCGTGGTGGCGTGTCCGGGTGCAGCTGCCGGGGGGCCCGCATCCCGGGTCCAGGTCAGGGAGACCCCCGGGTGGACCGGCTCCCCGGCAGGCACTGAAGGGAGCCAAAGCCTCCACGTGAAATTACTCCAGGAGAGAGGGCGTCCCGGGGCGACCTGACTCAACCTGCATGAAAACCCAGCCCCTTTACTCTGGTGGCGTAGTGCCTAAGGCATTTGACTACCTAACCAGAAGTCTGGTGGGCTTTGAACCACCAGCCACTCCTTGGAAGGAAGACGGGCAATCTACTTCTGTAGAGATACCGCCTCAGAAACCCAAAGAGGGTAGCTATGTGTCAGAACCAACTTGATGGCACTGAGTGCTTTTTTTCTTTTTTTTTTTATCCGGTGGGAGTTCAGCTAAGTGAGAGCCAGATTCCGGGGCTGTCCTGGGACCTGGGGCTGCAGTGGTGAGCTTAACAGTGCCACCATGTGGCCGTCCAGAGCACTGCACCAGGGGTGGCTTGGGCCCTGCCCTAGGAGCTGAAGGGCTGGGCTTGGTTGGGAACCCCAGATGGGACTTTGAATGATAGCCGCAGCTAAAGCAAAATGAAAGGTGCCTGCTTTAGTGATGTGAAGCAGTCACAGGGGACACACAGGGACATCGGTGCTCAAGGTTTCTTGGCACTTGGCCATTTAGCAAACATTTTCATATCCTGGAATCCGGCGACTTCTCACCCCCGCTTCACCAGTGGAGAAGCCGAGGCCCAGAAAGCTGGGCACTTGCCAGGGTCACAGGGGGCAGCATGAGGACTGGGACCCCAACCTCAAGCCCCTAAGCCCTGTGGTAGCGAACCAGCGCTCCCAGCGGCCAAAGATGGGGGCTGTGCTCCCAGCCCAGGCCCTCTGTGCGCCAGGCCCACAGGAAGCACACAGCCTCACATGGGCAGCCCACGCTGCTCACAGCCCGGAGCCTCCTGCGGGCTCTGCTGGGTTCTGCAAGGCGCTCCCATGCCCCTGCCTGCAGGCCCAGGTGGCAGTTTGGGCTCCTTCCAGGGACAGACGCAGCTGGCGGGGCACATCTGAGGACAGGGCCTCCGGCTGGCCTTCCGCCCTTGGCCTGCACAGAGAGGGCCTGGCCAGAGGCTTCCTGCCGGCTCCACTTCCTGAGCAGAAAGAGCGGCTTTGTGTCCCTTGAACACCTGGCTCTGATTCACTGTATGTCTGCAGCTGCTCAGTTCAAGTACCGTATGTCCCTGCGTC